ATATATATATATATACGTGTATGTATTTATTTTTTTATCTTACTTTCATATAAAAATGAAAATTTACTATGTGAAATAGCAAATTTTAGTAAAATCTAATTTTACTGTGTAGCATGGTTATTTTTATAATACGGTGAGTATGTCTCAGCTTTCCTATAAAACTTAGTAATTTTTAGTATGGTTGTAATACTTTTTCTAACACAACTTTTCTCAGTGCGCAAACTGTAGAATACAATTCTTCAAATTATTTAAAAATTTGTAGATTGGGTTACCAGCATATTACAGCGACTTTAGATATAGAATTAGTAGTTTTTGTCGGATGAGTGCCGTCGTCTCCGGAAATATTTTGCTGCACGAGGGACCTACGAAGCAGGGCCCGAGAGACGTAAGTTAGTCGTGAAGCGATGGCGCTTATGTGGCGAATCCTATTTTTTTACCACGGGTACACCAGCCTCTCAAAAACGCCCGAGGTAGGAAAAGTGTATTTCTTACCTAGGGCAGATAGTACAGCTTGCACGCCCGAAGGATGCGGTTGTTGTATGTTGTATGTTGGCATAGTTGCCGCCCGCCAATTACTTTCCGCCCTAGAGTGGGAACAAACTTTTGGTCCAGCCGGGCCAGAATATTTCTTCCTGCATGTGGGTAGAAAGTAATTAGTAGGTGGAAAGTGTGGCGAAAGTATAGGTTTCAAAATTTTTTGTTTTGTTTCTAATTTCATAACGAATAAAAAAAGTAGAAGAAAAGTGCATCTTTAGAGCCCTCTAGTGGCCACATTGATCCGCAGCCCATTTTGGGACAAAAAGGGCTTGAAAGAAAAGTTGATGGCTTACGCTTGGAAAAACAGAAGAAGAAAAAAGTTATAAAGCTTTCATACTTCTCTCAACTTTGATTTTTATGTATAAAACTACTGTAATATGCTAAAAACCCAACCAACAAAATTTAAAAACAATGTTATCATATTTTACGTAAAAAATGCTAACGAAAACGTATTTCTTCTCGTTTTTTTTTACCCGCATAATTTTCCCCCTAAAATTCACAAGGTTGCGGTCAAAGTGAAAAATTTATCTAATATTTGTGACGGTGACTGACGGTAAAGATGTTAGTCAAAAATCTTAAAATATAGCACTAAAGCGTTCTTATGAAGTACTATCTATGAATCTTCAAAATTTAAAGGAAAAAATTTTTTTCTGTTTTCGGTTTACGTGAAATCTCCAACGCAAAAGTTTGTTTGTAAGTATATCTGTGTGTGTATACGTATGTATATTATTACGTAGAAATAAAGTATTCCAAAAAGTATTAATCTAATTAAATATTGTTGTGAAAAAGTCTTTGTCTTAATCGACTGTCACGCAACACATTTTTATTAGGAAAGATACTAATAGACGAATCGAGTTATAATGTGTGATACTTCAGTAGAATATTAATCATGTTTATTTAATGATCGTTTTTTATTGATACTTAAGTATCACTGATTCCAAAAAAAATAAGGTAAACTTAATTTTAGAATGTAAGTGGTGAATTATTTCATTATGATAGTTTAATTTTTTTACTAACATTTTTTATTTTTAACTGAAAAAATTGTATTTGCAGTACTACAGTGTTTTGCGTTGTCGTTTACTTGGCACCTCTGCCTTTCTGGTGCCCTGGGCAAGTGCCTAGTTCGCCTGACCCTTAAGCCACCCCTGGTTAAGCCTGATCACAGCAGAGTAGGTAAGGACCGTGGCCAGAAAGTAAGAGGTCGGGGGTTCAAATCTCTTTGGAAACTGGTTAAAAGAAAAAGAAATAAAATTCATAAAATTTAAAATGTGTGGTGATTTGGTGTGGCATCATGTATTGTAGAGGGAACAGGAAGTACACAAGGGGTGGTGTGAAGGGGGAGAATCAAGCAAAATCTACTTTCACCACACTTTTTCTCAAGGTCAAAATCTGAAATCGTTTATTTACCCCCGCGCATAACGTGCCTATAGCAGTCAAAAAGTGTGAGAAGCAAATGCAAGATGGCAATGGACAAAACTCCATCGCCACTTTGCATATTGCCCATAGCTATAGTCAATGCGTTAAAGGTGTCGACTCTTTGCTTGAAGACCATAAATTTCTGGCGCTAGGCTCATATCTCATGATGACATTACGGCATAGACACTGGCGACGCCATAGCTACATAGCAGCCTGCGCTTAACTCATAGCAGCTACAGTAAAAGCCTATAAGTGATGGCGTCCCACACAGACTTATTGCATTGACGCTTTTATGCGATACTGCCTTTTTTTTCCTCTGCGTGTATATGTGGCAAAAATTCAAAAATTGATAACTCTCTGTTACATACACATAGAGAGCTGAAATTTGGCATAGTTGTAGTTGTAGCAATGTTAAATAACCACACTAAATTTCAGCAAGATTGGATGCATAGTTTTTTCAAACTGCAACTAAATGAAAAAAAAAGTAACTTTGGTAATAGCGCCTGAAAAAAGTTGTTTATAACGTTAGATAAAACTTTTTTTACATGAAAATAAGAAGATTCAAGTTTTTATTAAATTTATCACAAAGCTGACCATTAAGCCTTTTAAAGTTGTGATACGTGTTTTAACGTAAAAATTGACAGTGAAATGATTGGTGACATTGATTTTTGATTAAAAATTGGGATACGTAATTAAAAATTGATTCTTTGAGAACCAAGTCATAAAAACAAACTAGGTAGACAAAGTTGTCAAGATTTTGTTATAACTAAAGTTATAATCAATTTTTGTGAAAGTGAGAAAAATTTAAGACAATTGCCTGGAAAAAAAAGATTCTAAATCAGTTACTTCAGATGATGGAAAGCAAGTTTGTATTCAAAGAAATTAATTTTCTGTGATTAATCTGATGTTACGTGGGAAAGAGATAGGTAGGAGGTGCGTCGCGAGAAATACCAACCATTGATTATATCAAGAGCTTTATTCAAATCACCAAAATTAAAGGCAAAGTAGCGCGTGTATTTTCCTCGAAGGCTCGTCGTGTACCCTTAATTCCCAAATGTGCGAATGCCTGACTGCTCGACTCCTTGACTCTTGACTCTTGACTCCCTGACTAGTTGACTGCCCGAGTGCCGCCTAAGTGCCCAAGTGCCACGATTTGAGGCTCGCTGGGCCTTATATTAGCTTGTTCCCCACCTGTCGATGCCTTCTTGATAAAGAAGCCTCGCTGTTACTAGGGAGAGTCAGTATGATATGCCTTGTATATCGTACGTTGCACGTCTGAGGCCGCGACGTCGTCGCCCTCAACGACGCTGATCTTTCAATTTATCCAGAGTTGAGCCTTGTAGACTTGCTTACGAATGTGTGTGTGTGTGCTGTGCTGTATTCTGTTGTCTGTATTGTTTATGTAATTTAGTATTTCACACTCATCCTTTTATTCCATTGTAAAGAACTGCTGTTCCCCTTACATTAATACTTTCGCTCTTCTAATCATTCAGTCTTCTTTCATTGTGTGTTAGGTGTATAACAATATTAATTTTGTATGCACTTTGCCTTATATTACAATAATATTTGAAATTGCCGTAAATTGGGCATCTCTTCAAGACTACTTTACAC